CAAATTTTCATTGTTATTCCCTCTTCTTTTTTTACATGTACGACATAGATTATTGTCCATCCACCAGATCATCGCATTTTATGTTTAATAGTCCTTTTTGTTTCAAACTGTACACATTTTATTTGATAATGATAATTGTGTAAACAATATTGAGGAAGTGTGGTACTTAAAAGCTTATCCATCCACCACAGCACTATGTCTTGAGAAACCATGCTTTTCAAGCTGTATCAAGCTTCACCTACCTCCAGTCCATAATTAACGATAGCAATAACGAAGAGGAGGAGATAGAAGCTAGAATAATGGCTGCCAACAGAGCATAATTCTCTCTAGCGAGCCTTCTAAAAAGTAGATTGTTAAGTCATACAACGAAGTTTAGGATATACAGAACGATTATTCGGTCAGTTGTAACATATGCGTGAGAAACATGGACTCTAACAAAGGCATCTGCTGAACGAATAGATCGGTTTGAAAGGAAAATACTAAGACGGATAATAGGACCTAAACTGGAGGAAGGAGTTCTCCACTTGAGAACAAACAAGGAGGCACTAGCGGATCCAGGATTTAATTTTGGGGGGCTTCAGCCCGGAAGCTTTTTTTTCCATATATATAAGGATAATTACGTTGGAAAAACAGAAAGATACTAACTATCTATATGAAATGGTGTTTAAGTGATTCTTGAAGCCCTATTAAATGTAATTAAACGAGCAATAATACTTTAAGACATATTTTTTTTATATTTTTTACCATAAAACATGGTTACATTTTGCCATTTTGGGGAGGGCTTCAGCCCGAAAGCCCCCTCCCCCCCGTAAATCCGCCTGTGCAAGGAGATATACTCAATGTACGGTGATCTGTCTATCTCCCAATTCGCTCGAGTGCAGCGAATGAAATGGTTAGGACATGTCCTGAGAATGGATGAAGCGATGACAGCGAGAAGGCTTTATCATGGGAAGCCAGAGGGAGATAGGTCTAGGGGAAGATCGAATGCAAGATGGATAGATAACGTAAAAGAAGACTTGAGAAAAAGTGGCATATCTATCAGGTGCGCAGCCAACAGGGATGACTTGACAAAGGAAATTGAGCTGACCAAGGACTTCGGAATGAAAAGTTTCAAACCAGGAAAAAAAAGTAGAATACATATAATAGACCGCTGTAAATGTAATTGTATATTATCTAAGATTTTTGAAATTATACTTTAGCTTGCACTGTTTAAGAAGAGGAAAGCAATAAAATATATTTTGCCTCAATTAAGGGCAATTTATTTAAAAAAATAAATAAATAAAAACACATTCACACTTATTTACAATATTTACAGTCAGCCGAGGGAGCTCCGAGTTGGACCTTTTCCCTCACGTGTGGAGGATAAGGCAAGACTCCAAGAGATCCCAGCGCTTCTCTCTCAGCCGCATCACTAGGATGGGAATCTAGTGGAGACTAAGAGAGGGCACTAAAGTCACATACGCTCATGACTTGAGTGGAGAAGCTGGCCATCGCCAGGACTCCAATGACGTCTTTACAAGAGATCTCGAGGCCACTGCCGCTTCAACCTTCGAGGAGGATTGTAGGGAATATTGGAACTGGATAAGGATTGTGCTAAGAGATTAGGATGATGGATTAGGTTCTGATGAAAATTTGAAAATCGGGATGGAATAGCGTCAAGGACAAAAATAAAATTAAAAATGATATATACTTATCATTTTTTTGTAACTAACTTGTTTTTAATTTGAATTATTTATTTGATTATAATAAATATTTTTATTATAATCGACGAAATATTTTTAGTTCGAGTGCCATTGATAAAGAATGTCGCTATATTTATTTATATTTCATTATAAGGAATTTTTATGTGTTTAACATTGATATATAAATTAATTTTAATTTTTATATTGCTGTAATCCACGGGCGGATCTACGTGGAGGGGGGAGGTATTTGGGGCTGAAGCCCTCCCCCAAAATGGTAAAATATTACCATGTTTCATGGAAAAAAATATTTTAAAAATATCTCTTTAAGTATTATTGTTCGTGTAATTACATTTAAAAGGACTTTAGGAATCACTTAAACACCATTTCGTATAGGTAGGTAGTTAGTTTCTTTCTTTTTTTCCAAAGTAATTATAGTTATTTTTATGAAAAAAAAAGCATTCGGGCTAAAGCCCCCCCCCAAAAAAAAAAAAAATTAAATCCTGGATCCACTAGTGCTGTAACTATGCAATAGAGATGTGAAATAATACCAACATTAACATTTATGAAAACCGCACAAATAGTTCGTTATAAGTACATACTATTATCGGAGCCCGTATTTTATTATTATTATTGCTATTGTCCTTATTATTTTTACGTACTGAAGTTTTTTCTAAACATCTGGCCAAGCTTGGGTGGACCATTGGGTTTCTTCCATTTTCTATTACGATCTCTTATTTCTCCTTTAGTTAATTATCAAATTCTTTCATATTTTATATTTAACAATTTTTATTTTCATATAGTTATATATGAATTATATATTGAGCAAAAGAATAGAAATCGTGAAAAATTTTGAATCTGAGTTTTCAATGTAAACAAACCTTTTGAGGTTCGTTTTAGTCCAAATAACCATCTCGCGATTTGAATATTATGTGAATAGTAAGTGTGTGTGAGTATGTGTAAGTTAACAGTCTACCTCAAAAACAAAAAGTCGTTCTGAAATTGCGTATTTATGGTTTATACAAGCTTGGCAAATTACAGCAACTTTTTCGTCAAAATTGGCCACCTCATATAATCGATTTTACACATTTTTACAATTATCATTGCACTTCACGGGCGGATCTAAGGGAGGGGGGACTTTCGGGCTGAGGCCCCCTATCCTCCACTCCAAAATGGTGAAATATAACCATGTCGTATCGAAAAAAGTATCTCTTAAAGTACTATAGTTCGTGTAATTACATTTAGAAGGTCTTTAGGAATCACTTAAACATCATTTCATACAGCTAGTTAGTTTCTTTCTTTTTTTCCAAAGTAATTATCGTTATTTTTATGAAAAAAAAACAACTTTTGGGCTGAAGTCTCCCCCCAAAAAAAATAAATCCTGGATCCGCTAGTGTTGCACTTAATTCAGAAATCTTGACATCAACATTGAAGTAACTGTTTTCCAAAATGAATCTAGTCATAAAAAATTGGTATTTCTTCATTCATTATGGCTACAGGTTGCGGTATCGATCACTCTTTTCATTTGTTCAAAAAGCATGCACAAATATTACAATCAGGCATAATGCAAGGGATCAAGCCTTCACTGAAGATAAATTAGTTAGTAAGGAACCAATTGGTCAATTTTCTTTATGGTATGAAGAAATTAAACAATGTAAAAACATTTTGGTCAATGCTGCATATCTGGCAACTGCCAACAAGGATGGAGTTCCGTCAGTAAGGATTGTAATGGTAAAGGCCCACGGTCCAGATGGTTTTCAGTTCTTCACTGACTACGGAAGTCGCAAAGGACAAGATCTGAAAGAAAACCCAGTGGCTGCTTTAAGTTTTTATTGGCCTTCATTTAATAGACAAGTACATATTGAAGGAGTTGTTGAGAAAGTTTGTGAAGAAGAGTCTCAACATCACTTCAACCTCATGTCAATTGAAAGTAAAATATGTGCTATTATAAGTCCTCAAAGTTGTATTGTACCTGGTCGTGACTATTTGGTCAATGCGTACAAACAACTTTCTAAAGGTGATGTAGTCAAACCTTTGTCCTGGGGAGGATTTATTTTATGCCATAATGTTGTAGAATTTTGGCAAGGGCGGAATGGTAAAATTCATGATAATATAGTGTACCTTAGAGATAATGGAGAATGGAAAATACGTAGATTAGCCTCATAATTTTTGTGTAATGTATTCGTGTAGGTTATTAATTGTATGTACTTTAATACATACTATTTAATAAGGCTTTAGTTTTCTTTAGACATTTTTTTTTTCTCTTATTTTCTATTGTTTTATTCTGTGTTGAACGTGAATTTTCATCACCACTCACAAAGCATTGTGAGTAGATAAAATTTGTTTTTCTTAATTTCTAATTTTTCTATTCATGAGATTGTATTTCTTTGAAATGTATTTTATTTTCTAATTATCTTCGACACACTCCTCGCTATGTGTATATATATAAACACTTTATTTTTTTTTTTTCTTCTCCTAATCTTTACGCCTAATCACTTAAATAAATATCTTAGGGAACATATTTATATCATTTTTTTTTTTACAATTTGTTTCTTTACATATTAACAGCTATCATTATTATTATTTTTTTTTTATATTGCATCACTACAATGCTTTGCCTATAAAATTGATTTTGCGTTCCTTTCTAATTTCATTCAATGATTATTATGCTATTGTTTTAGCTCCAATATTGTAGTACTGAACCCCTATTACCCAACTGTTCTCGTTAATTTATCCTAAGAGCTATTATACTTAATTTATTACTAGTATTTTGTTATTATTCATTGTAATAGGTCTTTTGGCCAGATTTATGGTTAATTTATATGAACAATACTGTTATTCTAAAGGGACCTAGTCCCAGAATAAAGATGATTTTTCTATTTCCATGTAATATAGATAAAATGAAAAGTGAATCATATCATTTATACTTGTTTATATTTATATTGCTGCCTTATATTTATTATATTGCCTTACCTTCAGTTGTAATAATGCAATATATGTATATTTTTTTTATTTCTTACTTCAATTACCTTTTATCAGTTAATATAATCAAAATTTACTTGCACTTATATTTGCATGTGCAATTAATTCCGAACTATTGATATACTCTTTTAATTTTATAATTAATATATTAAATGACTAAGTGGTAATTTCAGGACTTGTATATGAGTTTTGGTGATAGTGTTTGCACAATGATATGAAAGAACCAATAACATAGAATGAGGAATTCATTGAGTTTTTAATTTAATATAGATTGTCAAAGATAATATAGAGTATTTAAAGGTGTGTAAATTTGTTCTTTTACTGAATTGTTAATAATATCTCCACTGAAATGGGTTATATGATGGGAATAATTTTGGGGTTAACCTGTTTGTTGGGTTTATCAAAAGCACTACCAATGCTAAATGATGGTGACTTACCACCAGTGCAAGATGTAGCAAAAATGGCAAGATATATTATTCATACTTCAGGTGAATTTTTATTTTAATTATTTGTTTAATTTTCAAGTTTATTTTTATAAATATAAAAATAATTTTATATATTAATTTAAAATAGATTGGACAGTTATATCACACATATCGCATCAAGGAAATTCGAGTGATTTTCCCCTTGGACGTGTTTTCTCAATGAGCGATGGTCCAATAAACAATAGCAAAGGTACACCTTACATCTACTCAACCGAGCTAGACCCGGTTATAAATGATCTTAAAGTGAGTGCTTTTTCTATATTTATTTTATTTTTTAATTCTGAGATGTTCATATTACTGAAAAATATTTATTTAATGTTTTTGTCATGTGAAATAATTATTTATTTATTTAATATGAATGTGGACTTTTCTCCAGGGATCGAACAAAACAGTTAACTCTATAATTAAAAATAAAAAAATAACTTTTACCTATATATTGTTACATCCCTCTTATATTTTAAAATAATATAACCTCAGAAGATCACTTTATACCCTTAGGATACTTCCAAAAGAAATAAGATGTTGTTATAATAATAAACAAAATTATAAGAGTATTAACATATTTATTTATCTCAGGTGTGGGTTACTGACAATCAGATCAACTCAGACAAACTATTATTATTTATACTAAAATTAAACACTGATTTTAAAATAAAGTCACATATGGATTGGCAAGCTAACTTTTTTTCTATATACACTGCTTCTTCCTTTGTTGCACTAAATTCATTTGTCTTCTAATATTTTCTTATGTTCTGCCAAACACATCTTCCAGAATGGTGACACTATTTTCTATTCATAGATGGTAATACTATTACTGGGGTTTTCCCACTGAAGCCAGGATCACTTCTCCTATCCTCTCTTCACTAAAGTCACACAACAACTTGCCGAAACAAAAACCTTTGTCCCTCTCCTCTATGGGATTTTCCTTCTTGGGAAATGATAGAGAAGCCATTTTCTTTTCCCTACACTAGTAGAACTAGATTAGCTTGCTTTTAATTATTCAATCAACATTAATTTAGTAAATCATTTTTACCCACTTCCAATAAAGGTGTATAAAAGTTTTTGTTGAACTTTTACTTTAATTGATACATGCCATTTCATATATGTACATAGTTATATAAAATATTATAATAATTTTTCTACAAATTTGACATAGCAAATATTCACATGGAATAAGTATGTATTACCTTAATTCAAACACATTAAAGCTTTTGCTTTTCTAATAAAACAATTGTGGTTAACAAATAAAACTTATAAAAAATTAACACTGAAATATTTTCCAAAATATCCATAATTTATTAATTTTCCACTATGATTGTGAGCATTGAACAGTGTAATAATTATGAACTTCTATTATAATTAATAATTTTTTGTACTTATAACTTTTATTTTATAATAAGTAAAAGTTTAACAAGTACTTTTTATCACATTTATATATGTATTAAAAAAATTAAGCTAGAACTTTCATTTAACAGTTTAAAAAAAAAACAACTTTTAACTTTAACTTTTTATTGATAAAAGTTTTTCCAAACAGTTAAAGTCAAATACGTTTGTAAAAAACAAAACAAAAAACTGTTTCAACCTCTGCTTTGCTCATAATGAAATAAAAATTTGGAAACTCATACACTTGGAGCCTCACTGGGAATAAAGATTAGAATTAGCTATTAGAGAAAAACATATCTTAAAGTGTGAAATGCTTTATATTTCTATTAAGCTGAATTTTGTTCTTTCTGTCATCACATTTCTCACTCTAACGATTTCTTTCTATCATCAGCAATAATCTGTTAAAAATCAAATGGCTTATGAAATACATGATGATTTAAAGAAAAAGAAAAGTACATTTTATTCTGAGATATTTAGCCTCTTAAGAATAAGTACAATGAACAGGAAACTTACATTTGTCTGGCAGTAGAAGAGAATACAGATACAATTAATTAACATAATTGATTAGATAATTCTGTTAATAAATTAAAATTAAAATAACATAGGACAATTAAACTTATTAAATTGTAGATAAATAAACATGATAAAATGGATATTTTGGGATAGAAAATTGTGGTTTTTGTGTTAAAACAAAATATACTTATTTGAAATCTTCCAGATTTTTCTAGACCATTTACTTTCAAATATGAAATGGTTAATTATTTCAAATTAAAAATACTTTACAGGAAGAAATTTTGAAAATTTCATTTAAGCCATGAGGATGCATCGATGAGGATAAAATCTACCTTAAATTGAAAACTACTTGATTTCACACTGATGTAATGAATTTAATCAAGATTGTTATATCATGTTCATGTTAAATTTTATTTTTATTATCAGTAACATTCAGTTAAGTTACCAATAATCTATTACTATTTTCATCTCGCCCTTACACTGATGATACTGATACATTATCATTTATCAGTATCAGTAACACATTCTGAGAATAATAAATTGAAAATAATATTTGTGTTTTTTCTTTACTTGTAGAAGGACAGCTTATGTGGAATGACAATGAGCCTTGCTTACGGTGACTACTGCAAGGATAAACATCTCGACCCGGAAAATCCTCTTTGTGCCCAGGTCATGCTAACGGGACATCTACAATTTGTAAGTATATGCTATAAATATAATGTAATAATTATAGTAAATAAAATAATACTTAGAACTGGAACGTCAACTTTGGCACAGGTCATGCTAACTGGACATCTACAATTTGTAAGTATATGCCAGAAATATAATATAATAAATAAAATAATGCTTAAAACTGGAAGGTGATCTTTGGCACAGGTATTCTTTTTATTTTAGAGTAAAATTTAATTTCACTGGATTATTTTTGTTTTCTTCTGTTGGCATTACAGACCACATAGATCTTTTGCCGCCTCAACAAGCCTGCTCCATCTCTGCCTGTCTTGGGCTATTTCATTCCATTTATCTGCCCATAGCTCTATTGCATCTTTGTTGATTCTTGAAAGCCAATATGCTTGCCATGTGCTCTTGACTAGTTTTTGCAAGCAGACTTTTTTTTCTAGGGTGCTGGCCAGTGTCCAGATCTCAAACCCATATATTTGAACTCGCTTTCTCATAGCATTGTACACCCTTAATTTGAAATTTATTGGGATTTCAATACCTTCGAAAGGGAGAAGCAAGCTTTGTAGTTTTACGCTGGTATATTTCTGCACTTTGGTCACTCATTGAGATTATTATGGAGCCGAGGTATTTGAATTTTTCTACTCTCGGTAATGATTAATGATCCTTCTGTCATTATTATTATTTTGTTTTGTCTTCATTTACTTGTATGCCGATCTGCTCTGCCTCTCTTATCAGTCTTACCAAGTTTCTCAATGTCCTCTTGATTACTTCCAAGGACAGCTTTATCATCTGCGTATCCAAGGATTTTATGATCCATTCCGACGTGGAACTCTTCATTTTCCTGTGATGTTGTTCTTATTCCTTCTCCAGGGCTAAGTTGAACAACATCGGTGATAGTCCATCTCCCTGCCGTAAGCCCGTTCAAACTTTGAAGGCTTCAGATACTTCTTCTTGTATTAGAACTCTACATTTGAACTCACTTGTACACAGTTTTGTTAATCTCACCAACTTACCAAAAACTCTCAGTTCAGTAAAGTTGACTAATATGAATGCCTAGTTCACTGAACTAATATGAATATATAATAATAATTATCAATTTCATTAAATATGCAATAATTTACTAGAAGCCAGACATTTAAAATATTGTATATAGATAGATATAAAGCTTTATTTCATATAAATTTTACATTTTCTTTCTTAAAAAATAAATCTTTTATTGGCGTGTTAAAAGACCACCTGCCAAGAGTTGTCCCAAAAATAGATTCAACGAAAATAATAATAATTAAATAAATAAAAAATAAACTTTGAAAACATAAAAGAACCAGTTATTAATGATAAATATAACTAAATAAACTGTAAATTAGCAAAACGATAAGAAATAAATAATGTTTGTTTAATATGCTTAATTTTATAATTGTTTATCTTTTTTTTACATACAACTTAAGAATGTTAAGATTTGGATTCCTGAATTAAGAACAATTTATATTTATAAGCAAATACATGATACTTAAACAAACTGTTCCATTCTTTGCAATTGAGTAAGTGTATAAGTTCATTGTGGTTCATAATTTTGTTCTTATAATACTTTATCTTATATTCCTGTAAAATCAGCGACATAGTGGTATACATTCTCAATCACATTCAAAATACAAAGGCTACACAATTTTTCGCTCACTCCTTATTTCGCTATTGCTTAGAAACACTAATTGTTAACATAACTTAAATATAACTTAAGATTTAAACAATGATTAAATATAAATAAAATTTATTTCATTTACATCTGATAAATGATGTCTTTCACCTAAGTCACTGTTTAAATTCTTATAAAGGTCATGAAATCTAGACACTCTAGCTTTTTACCTCGTATCTGCTTTGAAATATTGTACATGTTTTAAGATTATATGTATGTTATAGATTGATAACAATGATGAAGAAGCTAAGTTTGCAAAAGAAGCACTGTTTTCAAGGCATCCAGAAATGAGCTCGTGGCCAACAGGTACTTATGCAGCCATTAATGTTTATTAAGTTTACTTAATCTTTGTTCATTTTGTGATTATTTATTATTTACACTAAACCAGAATATAAGAATGGATAGGATTGTGGTACCACCACAGGCAAGTAGAAACTACAGTCAGTGGGTCACTGATTTCAATCAAATTTATTTTGGTGATACTACATTGAAAAATATTGGACACATATCCTTGTGTTTATTCTAATGAGCCCTAGAAAAGGAGAAACAAAATGTTTATATAATTTCAAACAAAATTTATGTTATTTATTTTTGCCTTCAGGTTGCCTGGAATTTTAGGGTATTATATATCGATTTATTTTTTTGTGTAGAATAAGAAAAAAATATTGACCAAGGTACTAAAAGTTACAAAAAAAACAAAAAGTACTTCCAGTAAAGTAGGCCAAATAATTTTTTTTTAATGTAAAAACAAATCATATTCGTTTTTTGTGTCCTTTGAAACTCTTAAATACGAATTTCAATAGAAATCAAAGATTTCAGAATTTAATACTTGATTTTGTTCAAGGATTTTTTTTTCTAATAACTAAAACATTCATAACTTCTCAGGATTTTCTCCAAATTCAACATTAGTACAACTGTTGCAAAGCCAAATTACTCCTCTTCCAACATACATTGATAACTTTTAGATTTCATTCCTTTTTAAATTAGAAATTAAGAAAAACTTCCCAGTCATTTTTATTTTATATATATGATTCTCATTTATTTCCAAAGGTCGGACTTGTACCATTTCATTTAGCATATATATATATATATATATATATATATATATATATATATATACATATAATTTATCTCAATGTTTGTGGTTGTTGACAAAATTTCGAATGGTCCATCCTAGGGGAAAATTTTAATTTTTCGATTCCTATGAAAATTCGTATGCAAGGATTTCTTGAGGTGCCGATAACAAATATCAATTTTGTTTCGGTTAATTCGAATAAATGATATGAAAAAGTAGAGTGGAACCCTAATTTACTTTCTCATATCATAAATTTATTTTTTCTGTGTAACATTCTTTTCTTCGCCTTAATTTTGTCCCTCATTTGTGATGAATGCTATTTAATTTTAAGAAATTCATTTTTTTTAAATTTCTCACTCTCAATAAAACAATATGTTAATGATTCATATTATAACCTCGTTAGTACAATCATAATAATTTATTAAATCATGTGTATTTGACAAGTGACAAAAAAGTAACTGTATACTGTAATAATATAACTAACTATAACTATAATATAACTGTATAATACTTAAGTAAAAATGACCCGAAAATATATATAATTAATAATAAAAATTTTATTTTAGATGACAAACGATTAATATTATATTTTATTATTTCAGATCACCACTTTCAGTTTGCAAAAATGAACATTGCTAATATTCAAGTTATTGATTACTACGGAGGAAGCAAATATCCTAGCACTGAAGAATACTACAATGTATCTCTTTAAATACATCTGTTTATATGTTTTTCATCTTTGTATTGTCTATAGACATTAAATAAATTACTAAAAACTATTAAATATTGCTTTTATGTGAAACTCCTACATAGCGTTTATGATAACAATAACTGGCACTCCGTCCTGTGAGATGGTAAATAGCTTGTATCCTTTCTAACAATCAGAATATATAGTGGTTCTCTCTTCTATATTATTTTGTTAATATATTCTAATAGAATGGCTGCTTTTCTGTTTTTTTTATCTTTACCATGAAACACTTCTGTTTTCCCATTCTATGATCTTCTTTATACAATTTCACCTTTGAAATGATCCCAAACTTCTGAAAGTATTTGACAGCTTCTTCTTCCGAAGACATCAATTCCCAAAGTGTTATTATATCCATTTTAAACAAAATATAACAAAAAAAAAAAACGGAAAACAATTGAATAATGCAGAAGTAACGGAAAGATAACAAGAGGTTACAGGAGATAAGAAGGGAGGTTCCATGGTGATGGTCTAAGTCACAAGTACCAAAATTTTTAAGTAGATATTCATCACTGTGGAACAAATCAACTTTCTTAGTGTTCAAGATCTCTCAGATGGATTGTGTATGTTGAATTATTAAAGAACTTTTCATTATAAGCAGGAATATTGTAGATGAGCAAGTACCTTTTTTTTTTGTTTAACAATTACTGAAGATCAATATACAATTAAAAAGAAATATGAATGTTGTTATATCTTAAAGATATATAGATAAATTCATCAGTTTCGCTATTGTAGAAGACCTAGTTTGTAAATTGAAAAGTATTAGTTTTATAAACTAAACATTGACTTAACAGTACAATATATATTCCATACCTATACCTATTTTTATGAATAAGAATTTAACTGATGTTCTTGGATTCTTTATTTAGTGAATATATATTATAAATGAGAAAAATGTAGTGTAATTTATCTTTATGTTGTTTGTAATTTTGTAAAATATATATATATCTATGCTGTCAAATTAAATACTATTATATGGTTGTATAGAGTAAAATACTATTATAATATTTAGTATTAAATTTGACCGTAGCCTTGACTTACTCAATTGACAATCTTCAGTTATATCTTAATTATTCTTATTAATTACAAAATAATATTGAAATCAAAATGGTTTTTAGCCTAATTTAAAATAAGCCTATCTGACCTTGTACTGGGCTCAATGCTATTTTATACTACAATATATTTAAAAAAAGACTTTTGTATATAATAACAAAGTGTTTTTATGTATTTATTTATTATAAGTATTTATTTACACAGAATTTATAATTTTTAAAACATATATATTTTGATTTAGACATTTAGCTGATTTCTGACTCCAAATCGAGTAGGCATGCAGCCTTTACCTGGGTATTCTTAACCAGAGGTCTGGAACCGCAACTCTGAGAAACAAGCAACACACCTCCGGCACCAGAATGAGACTGTGTACTTTCCAATATGGCTAAAGAACTTGGAAATAATGAAGGCACAATCAAAAGAATAATTCATATAATGAGAGCCATTAGAACTTTTCATGTCGTATAGTTGTAATTTTTCATAACACTTAATTATTGTAATTATTCTTGTGATTTATTTCTTGTGATCATTATAGAAACTATTGTTGTTACTTATTTTTTGTATATTAGAGATAGATGTATAGTTGACTGTTGAAATTATAAGGATAAAAAATAGTCAGGATGTGCAGTCAAAATATGTGTTTATTGAGTTTGCCTACATTTCGACGCAAATGTGTGATTCTACATCAGGGCAATGATTTAAAGGCCAGATAAGAACTTTTCTTCTTAATTTTTGTATTCATTATTATAATTATTCCTGTCATTCTTGTAATTATTATTGTAACAATTTAATTATTGGCATTTCAATTATTCATGTTATTTAATACCAGTAATTATTAAAAAATAAATAAAGAATATTTTAATAAGTATCGCATCAATTTCAATCTATATGGTTAGGTGATAAGTATGTATAGTTAATGAAAAGTAATAAGAGAATAAGTAAAAAAATCCTTTTTCAGGAAAACATTTAAAAGTGTTTGCTATAAGAGTTGAAAAATAAAGGGTTTGTGTTCCCCAAAACCTAAAATTAGCAAATCTTATATTTACTTCTCTTAATAATTTTATTAAAAGATGTATTTTGTGTATATATTCATATTTCCATTATATTTTTCAAGGCTATGAAATAGTTTCATGAATAATTGAAATTATTTTATCATAATGTAAGATATGGTCTGTGGTACAGACCCCTTTTTATCAAATTAAAGACATCCGCTTGATATTGTTGTATTCTTTACTTAGTGAATATATATTATAAATGAGAAAAATGTAGTATAATATAAGTGGTTAGTTTTATGTCTCTTAAGTTGTTTGTAAAATATATCATAAATAAACTTGTGTAAATGTTTTATACATTACAACCCAAATTTACCCAAAAATTTGTATTTTTAACTTCATACTATTTGTTTTTCTACCTTCCTTTTCTTTAATACAAAAAGAAAAATAATAGAAGTAAATAATGATAAATTAAGCAATTATATTAAATTAACATGTATCTCTATTATTTTATCCCTTTATTGTTAATTCACTTGGTATTGATTATCTTTTTTATTTATTTCTGTCTATACTTTATACCTTTGTATTTCTGATTTAATTTCATCCTTGATGAAGACCCAAACATTTGTAATGAAACTTGTATTTCGCAATAAAATAATTGTTAAATTCTGAATAATTGTTAAGTTCTATTATATAAACCACAGTCACTCAACTATAATCGAAATATTCGATAGTATTAACAACACAAGATAATATTTAAAAAATATTTTTTAAATGTTAAGATTTCAACTTTTTAAAAAGATTTTAAATGAAAGCAAGTGTAAAACAACAACATTGAATGAGAAAACCAAGAATGAATAATTTAATAGAAAGAAAATTGTGGAAACTTACCTTCAACATTTGAAAGAAAAAAATTAGCAAACAGTTTTACTTTGAATTATATATAAGTTCAGATGATATAAATCTGTATTCAATAATACATACAGAAATGAGCTTTAGTGTTTGATTATAAAAAAAGAATAGGGTAAACTAAAAACAACTCTTCACAGAAATACATTTATTGGTATTCTTCTATTATGTTTTACCATATATATACGAAAATACATAACAAAATTACAACATATCAATAATATTTATGAATGCAGTTCACTGTTGATGTCACTAGATGTATTCAAAACTCCACTTCACTCACTCCATATACTTTAGACAAATATATTTAATTACTTTCATCTATTATGGTTTAGCATATATTTAAAAATACATAAAACAACTATTACATATCTATATTTATTAACACAGTTCACTGTTGATATTCACTAGATTCATTCAAACTTCACTTCACTCACAATATACACTTATTAAGAAACTAGCGATAAATAATTAAACTAAATTCTGTAATTTCTAATGAAAAAAACATTACGAAATAATGTATTGCTTAAGACATGAAAGAATCAGACACTAACTATAAGTAACAGTCAAGCAATATACTTTAGGAAAGAAAACATTTCACAAATTTATTACACCCAATTTTAACTTATTAACATATTATAGAAGGTTGTGGAGGCCTGTCGTGTTAAGAATTAAATTAATAAACATTTAAACAATATAACAAGGTGAAAGCAACAATCTTAGTAACCGTTTATAAGTTTAAACGAATTTTAACAATATTTTCGATAACCATATGAAGTAACAGAACTAAGGAACAAAGCGTTTGAGTAATAGTGTTAAAACCTAATAAAAGAGAGCAGCACCATCCAATAAACGTATACAATGCAATTATAGTTTTAAAAACCGCTAAAAGAGTGCAGCACCATACAGGGAACACGAAATTGGCATTTAGTTCAAAAAGTTGCCGCAAGGTAGCAGCACTATCCAGGGAGCCATTGTATGGAACACGAAACTCGAACGTAGTTGTTAAAACTGCCGCAAGAGGCCAGCACCATCCAAGGAAGCAATGAAATTGTAGTTCTAGACGCTGCCGCTAGATAGTAGCACTACAAAGACTCCTGGTCGACTCGAAAAGTGAGCTCCTGTCGACCTCCTAATATCCTAATAGAAATCGACGAATTTCTCGCTAGAAATTCGAATAAAATTCGTAGTTCCTATGTTCTGCCAACAGATAGCAGCACCATCGGTATCAGGAACTCCTCTAAAGGTGTCTGGGACCATTTTTTTGTTTTTCTTGTTTATTAATGCTTGAAATTGATTAGAACATTTAAAATTACGTTAAATAAACTAAAATAATTCCTTTTTGTTCCTATTTTACCCTAAATCTTCAAATTTTCACAATTTAATAAATTTCATAGTATAGAACTTATTTTTCATGCTGTGAATAGATTGAAATATTTTAGAATTGTTCGTAAAATTTTAAAATGCTTTCTCTTTCTTCTCAATTCTTCCGAATGTAAGAAAAATAATGATAAATCTTCTGAATATGTGTTATTTTAACCATTTATTTAATTAACAATACTTTTCTTTTGCAATAATATCATCTATTACTTATATTATACAGTTATGTTAGTTCTTGTTTATTCCTACAGAGAATTGATCGAAATATTTTAGAATTGTTCGGAAAATTCAAAATGTTTCCTGTTTTTCTCATTTCGTCCTAATATAAGAAATAATTACTACAAATCTTCTAAATATATGTTCTTTTTACCATTTATTAAATTAATAATACTTTTATTTCCCTATAATACCATCTATTTCTTACATTATACATTTATGTTCGTTCTTGTTTATTCATACAGAGAATTGATTGAAATATTGCAGAATTAAACTAACTCCTTCTCATAAAATAAAAATAGTGACAAATCTTCTGAATATGTGTTATTTTCACCATTTAATAAATTAATAATAATCATTATTTAGACAAACTAATAGTTTCTATATATTACATAAATTTTGTTTTCTGTAAAAAAAACAATATGCGACTTAAAAAAAGAAACAGCTTTCAAGGAAAGAAAAATATAGAATGTACTTATACGTAATGTAATTATATAAATGAATTTTATTTGAATTTTCCAAAGAATTGTAAAATATTTCGATCACTCCAAA